AAGATTGCTTTATTATTAGTAGTAGTAGGAGGAAGAGTATATATATATATAATTTCAGAGAGAGGAAGGGAGATGTAGACAGAGATAGAAACATCAATGATGAGAGAGGGAACCATTGATTGGCTACCTCCTGTATGCTCCCCCTGGGGGGTCGAGCCCGCAACCTGGGCATGTGACCTTGACTGGAATCAAAACCCATTACCCTTGGTGTGCAGGCCGATGCTCTAACCAGTGAGCGGCACCAGCCAGGGCCTTTGTTTTAATTTTTCAATTGATTTTTAAAGCGGGGGGCGGGGGAGAGAGAGAGAGAGAGAGAGAGAGAGAGAGAGAGAGAGAGAGAAGAGAGAGAGAGAGAGAGAGAGAGAGAGAGATTGGAGATACTGATTTGTTGTTCCACTTACTTATGCATTCGTTGGTTGATTATTGTATGTGCCCTGACTGGGAATCGAACCGGCAACCTTGGTGTATTGGGATGACACTCTGACCACCTGTGCGACAGAGCTAGGGCCTGTTTTAGTTTTTTAAATGATTGCTAGTAAGTAGTAGTCCTTCCCAGCACCACCAAACATGTATTGGTCAACTGTAGTTCCTGTTCTGGGAAATGCCTCGTCATATGTTTTACCCAACTTTCAATTGGGTTGGCCTTGGAGTTCTTTCTCTAGACTCTTCTTTTGTTTGTTTATTAATCCTCACCCGAGTATATTTTTCCCATTGATTTTTAGAGAGAGTGGAAGAGAGGGAAGGAGGGGAGAGAGAGAGAGAAACATCCATGTGAGAAAGACACATAGATTGGTTGCCTCCTGACCTTGACCCTGCGGTGTTCAGGCCAACGCTCTAACCGCTGAGCAACACCGGCAGGACTCTTTCTATACCAGTGATGGCGAACCTATGACACGCGTGTCAGAGGTGACACCCGAACTCATTTTTTTGGTTGATTTTTCTTTGTTAAATGGCATTTAAATATATAAAATAAATATCAAAAATATACATCTTTGTTTTACTATGGTTGCAAATATCAAAAAATTTCTGTATGTGACACGGCACCAGAGTTAAGTTAGGGTTTTTCAAAATGCTGACACGCCGAGCTCAAAAGGTTCGCCATCACTGTTGTATACTCTTACTCTACATCATTTATGAGTACGTCATTTCAGCCAGAGCTCCGATTTATTTGACTTTTCTCAGACATGACGTGAAAATGTCAGAGAGATCAAATTTACTAGCCTTATTCCTTCCGAATTTTTCATTTAGTATTTCAAGACAACCTTCTCTCCCCCAGGACAAATATATTTTCCTGCATTTTCTTCTGATACTTTTCTTGTTTAAAATACATGTGGGTCTTTAATTAATTGGGAGATGGTTTTGGGAAAGGGTGTGAGGTGGAGATCCAACATCCCCTCCTCCCTCGAACCTGAGAGCAAGTTTGGCAGCTGTTGACCTACGTTGGATGCGTTCCAAATATTCCGGAGAACAGTTAAAAATGACAGGTTTCTGGGACCCATCTCCTTGACATGATGTTTGAAAAACGGGGAGGAGCCCAGCCAGAGGGGCTCAGTGGGTGAGCGTGGACCCGTGAACCAG